TATTTCACTTAAATTTTAGTGAAAGATAATGCATCCGTATTATTCTTTCCTCCAAATTATTCAGCGATAATTCAGTCATTCAGTCCATCATTCAGCCTATGGATATTATCAGAATAGTGTGCGTGCTGAAAATGCAAATATAAATTAGAATTTTTTCAATCCTTGTTACACTTCTTGAACAATGGCAAGACTATTCAAGAATTTCTGAAATATTTTAGCGTAAAATCTGCTTTCTGGAGCATCACACGATCTTGGGAGGATGTCTCTTCAGATACTTTAAAAACTGCTTGGCATAATTTATGGCCAACATTTCATGTTAAGGATGATGAAGATGATAGCCGCGAATGTGAAGGCTTTCGGATATCTCAAACCAAAGGTTAAATTTTCCAAGTAATGGATTTTTTAATGAAATGTGGAGAAGTGGTAATAAATTAAGATGATATAACAAAAGTTTTTCATTGTGATAACAATGCTTTAATCATCAATCAATTAACGGACGGCGAAATTTGTAATATGGTTCTAGATCCAGAAAATACCGCTCCTCCACATAGTGAAGAAAGTGACAGAGAGGTTATTGGAAACGAAAAATTTCGATTGACAAGTTAGTCGGAATTCTTGACACAGCAACTACAGGTCTGAAACAGCGGAACTTTGTAACTGAACAAGAAATTATGTCTGTCTATATAACTGAAGAGAAAGTATAAGCACAAAAAACGAAGCAACATAAACAATTTACATTCAAAGAACTGTTTAATAAAGTAAACAAATACATATTAAGCTTTTATCCATTAATTTTCATACCCTTTAGATCATAAATGCTTCATTATTTCATAAATCATGATTTCATAGTTTTAATTTTAGAATTTCTACATGCCCTCTTATTAGATTTAAACTGATGATCTAATATCCGGAAAAATCCCAAATTCGGAATTATCGAAGTCCGGTTTTCGGACTTTGTACTGTATTCATTCTCCACTGCATGCATATACATATAAAAAAATGAATGCATCATTCTATTAATTTTTTCGCGTTTTAAATCGAAACTTTAAAAAAAAAATCATTAAAACACTTCCAATATTATTTTTTATAAAGTACGATAAAAGTAACATTTTGGACAAATAATTCATTATGGTTTTTGCCCTTTCCAGAAAAGCAAAATTAAATAAAAATAAAATAGAAAGATACTAAAATGTTCAATTTTTTATTATATATACTAATTTTTTACTATATTACTTATGTATTAAGTTAAATCTTAATGCATTTTCAATAGCACACAAATGTAAGCTATCATGGATAATATCACCCCCCCCCCCAAAAAAAATGGAGATGAGATGAAAGAACGAAAAAGAAAATAGCCGATAAATTTATGTGAAGTACTTCTTGAGCTAAGAGTCTCAATATATTATTTAACTTTCACAAGATATTTAAACTTCAATTTTTTATATTAAATATTGTGTGTAAAGTAATTCAAGAATAAATAATACTAAATTTGAAAGTTTATTTTTATAACAAATTTATTTGATGTGAAAATTCTAATATATTTCACACTATATATTAAATTATTTTACATTTTTATTTTCAATCATGGCCCAAAATTTGCTTTTAAAAAACGAGAATTATTTACGAATAGTTCAGTTCTAAAAGACCGAACCATTTCGCCGATATGTAACAAAAGGTATTAAATTTCAGCATATGCTTTAACCACTAAAACAACCGAAATATACACAATGAGCTATATATATGAGGATGCTGAACGGTCCATGAATCTTATACAATAGTTTGTACAATCCCATACAATAGTTTATAGAACACCTCAAAATACAAACTTACAGACATTTTTTCATTATTATTATTAAATATTTAATAGTACTATACACAAAATAACAACCTACCACAGAAAATAGAATGTAAACTATTACAACTTTAAATTACTAGTTTTCTGTTTGTCATATTTGTTTACATCAATATTGCATGATGAAACATACAAAAAATGTAAATAAAAATACAAAATTTATATCAAAATAAAAATTTCTATATAATGTCCATATAAACTTTGCTCTAAAATTTACAATAGATATTGTAGTTTTTTCACGACATAGCATTATACAGAATCATAACATAAAAACTCAAAGTTATGCTCTTAATAAAAAGACTTTGATAAACCTTAAACAAATATAAAGCATGAACAAAATTTCAAAACATGATAATGGAAAATAATGAAAAACTTATTTAAGTGCTCAGATCAGTATAACTTAACAAAAATTATTATTATATCACAGAGAAAATTTATAAAATATTACTCTCACCCTTTACTTACTTTACAGAAGGAAAAATTTTCCTCTAGAACACCATATCTTATAAAAATTGCTGATATATTCAGCTTAGAATTGAGATACTGATATATATATTCAGAATTCTAGTTACCTAAACAGTGCACTAAAATTCGTTCAGAACATAATTTTACTCAGAATATTCAACACTGATAAAATAAGCATCACTAGTTTAACCCTGTGTTAGGTGTTTACGTTGTGTTGCACTATTAATACATGGGTAAGAGGTGTCACCCATTACTAGAATGGATTTAGAGTAAGGAAACAGATTCTTTTTTTTTTTTTTTTTTTTTTTTTTTTTTTTTTTTGGTCCTGCTACTGCCAAAACAAAAATCAACATTTAACGTTCAGATTCTGAAAAGTGCGACTTCGAACATAAGCATACAGTGTTGCAAACTTGCGACAAATATCACTGGGAGACACCTGTCAAACATGTGCTTAATCCAGGGTTAATAATGTTTTGCATGCCTACAAAGTTTTGTAATTGCAAAAGTACTTTTTTAACCTATGTGTAATGATTTTGAGATATAATAATGTTATTCCAAGAAATGGCAAAAATACTTATATGAACTGATGGGAATAGGAAAAAAATTCTTTCTCTCTCAAATAATGCACAGTTTCCCATCTGTTAAAGTTCAAAACATCAGACAAACATAAAACATGTTTTCATTAATAGGCACACACATTTATTCTTTGATGGAACTTCAGTTATTTAGAAATAAAACATTTTTACATCAGATTTTGACATTATACAAGAAAACATATTACAGTAACTTTAAATGTCATTAGGAAACTTCACACTCATTTAAATAAAAATGTTCATGCCCACATGGGAGGAAACTAATAAAATAATTTACTCAATAACTATATGCTCACTGACAGAGACAACATAAGCCCCGTTCACATGCAACGCTCTTTCACACAGCTATCGTTTGTATTAGGAAGAAAAGGAGGGTATGAAGAAGTTTTGCCTTTAGGACCGGTACAGATGCACATCCTCTTCCATCCCTTAACCCATAAGCCACTGCGAGCAATGCGAATCGGATTGCCGAATTTTTAATGTTTGCTTACATCTTTTTTAACATTGTTTATCATTGCTATAGAACGGCATCGGAGTTTATTTCTTAATTAATGAAAATACACCTAAATTAATTTAAAATGCAATTTATGTACAAGATCAAATGGTTAAAAGAAGAAAAGAAATCATTTTAAATAAAATGTTTCATAGCTGTTAAAATTTCAAACTTTGCTTTTTGAAAAAATGAATAAAATGAGAAATTAATATTATTATTAATTATAAATGTTTTAGAAAATATATTATAATTAATTCATATAGTAAAATTATTTTGAACGTGTTTTACAGATATTTTAAATAAAAGCTTGTAATTTATGTTTATATCAACAAACTGAATAACCATAGGTTTTATTTTATATGTATGATTTTATAACCATTTAAATACTCAGCATTTTTTCGATAAATCCTTTTACTTAGCGTTTTATCGATATATCCTTTTACTTAAAGTCCTAAAACTTCTATAAATGTGCACTAAATTATTTAATATTTTTATCATTTATTTAAAATTACATACTTTATACAAACAAGAATGGGATCTGCAAAATAATGAAAAGAAAAATTATTTGAAGTGAAAATATGATTGAGATTATATTTTTTCAAAGTTTTTACATAAAAATATGTTTTTAATTTTTCTCAGAAATTAATTCATTAATTGCAAAATGGATCTTATAAGTTATTAAGAATACTGTAATAAATACAATAAGAAAATTTGGGGGGAAAACATTGAAAATTCTAGAAGAAAGACATTTTAATTATTAAACATTTCTTCCGAAAATGTTAGTTATTATTAGCAAAATTTTTTTTTCAGCTTAAAATCTTTTGTCTTACAAAACGATTTAATAATATTCATAAAAAGTAGATGACAGTTCTTAAATTTAAAAAAATCATTCAATAGATACCGAGTCCCCTGGTTGCATTGAAGCCGATATGTGTCTTTAGTTTTAATTTGAAAGGTATTTCTGGAATACCCAGCATCAGATAACATTGTCTGTACTTGTTTACAAATTTCCGTATTTTGTAGGGTTCCATCTAATTTTTTTTGATGATATCGCATCTCCAGATATCTATCAACGTGATTGTCTCGCTGACAGTCCAGTGAGCAGTCAGTTGCACATCAGCCATGTTGTTTACTAAAATTAAGTGAACCAGGCAATGCAGTATGTGAAATTTCCCCATTTGCCCTGCTCCAGAGAGGTAGGAACATTCTACCAAGTTCTACCTCCAATTCTGAAAGGCAGTTAATGCTTGTTCGCCGTACGAATGGGACACGTTGGAAGAACCGTTTTTTGCTACCAGTCGAATATGCCCTTGTGAACGGGGATTTAGAGAATAAATGCAGGAACACAAATCACACTAAAAGACCTCTAAAGATCTTTACAAAACATTTAAACACCTACAGATAAAATGTTTGGCTTCTGATAACAATAATACTATTAACACGCATTTTGTGCAAAAAAAGAGACTTGGTACTAGCTGAAAGTACTATTGCAATGATAAAATAACTAAATTAAAAAAAAATTAAAAATTTGTCCAAAAATAAAAACAATCTTTTGCTGTACCCATAAATATATAAATCATAGTAACAGGAAAGCAGAAAAAGGTTACATAATACATATTTATTTTCATCAAGACTATATTTTTAACACCTCACAGAAGGGATTGGGGGGAGAGAATGGTCTTTGGCACAGACTGAGATAAGTAGGAGATCAAAGACCTAGGATATTTCAAACACTGAACTAATGTGAGTCTCACCAATATGATCACAGAGAATTATAATACAGCACATTACAATTATTTCCTATAATGCATGTTCTTAAAATTTATTAGATTTGAATATAATGGGGCACATATGCAAGTGAACAAATTTCATCATTACTAATGATACTTCAAATAATAATTAAAACAAATAGCAAAAAGAGGAGGTACCTTGAATATGAACCAGAATTCAAAATATTGTAGAGTACCAAGCAGTTTTAATGAACACTGCAGGTTCTCAGAATTTTTAACTGCTCAAAATTAATATTAATGAAGTAGCTTTGCTTGAAATAAGATACATATATAATTAAATGGCAATTAGACATATTTAATAGATATAAAACCAACTCTCAACAAAGTAAGACATTCTAAATCGCAACAAAATTATAAGTAAGTTGGCACAGAATGAAAAGAATATGAAAAACATACTTGATGTATCCTGTTGATATAATTAATGGGGCACTAATAATGTACTTTAAAGTTCTGCAATTACATTACCCCAGTTGGTAAGTGGTGGGTACCTATTATGCAATGCCAGATGGCATGGCTTTGATTCCTAAATAAGGCTTAGCTGTTTGTATTCTTTCTCCCCTCTCCTGTAGGCGCATTATCAGTCTATCTCTGGGTAACAATCATGATGAAGTGATGGTGAAATGGCTGACTGGTTTATTGAAAGCCAAGTCAGCAAGTATCCAAACATTAAAATATGATTCATGATTATTGCTTATATCTAAATATTAATTTCATTTATAATATCACACACCACACAGAAGGTAGTTGTTTTTATGTTCAACTAAAGCTCTGGTTAATCCTAAGCATTATAAAGATCTGAATACATTAAAAAGTTAGGGAAAATGTAACATATTTGCAGATTGTTAAGCAGTTCCTAAAGTTTAGTTACAAAATAATTTTAGCCCTCCCCCCCCAAAAAAGAGAGGCTTCCATTCATGTTTAATGAAACTCTTCCCATTTTTGTCAGAACTGCTACCTGTAGAGCACCTTCTTTCACAATCCTATTTTCTCTTTTAGAACCTATATCAAATATAATGTCAGTTAGCTTATTTGTGTTTGTCATTTCTTGAATGTAAATTACAAGGAATGAGAATTTTTATCTGCAGCAATGCTGCACACTTAATTGATGCTGAATGCTTATTAACTCATATACATATATTTACTTACTAATAAAAAGTGGCCAAAAAATATTACAATTTTCAAAATGTCAGTCATATAACAAAAATATTTTTCATTAATAATTTACAAAATTTTAGAGAATGTAAAGTACAGCTTCAGCTGCTAACTGGAAACAAAAAACATCGTGGAACATAATATAACATGAAAGTATATTTTTACATTGAATACAAAGATGGTGACTAATATTTTGTTTCAGTTAAACAATATGAACAAGTAAAACAACTCGTGTACAATACATATCATTAAAACAACAATTTCAGCAATATCTGACAACTTCTTTCACACTAGCATTATTCAAGAATAAAACAAGTGAGATTTGATAATCAGAAACTCTGAAAAATAATCTGTGCATAACAAAAAATAAAGGAATAGTACACACTAAAAATATTACCATGAAAATAGTTATGCTCTGCAACTGAGACAAGATCATATATACAACAACAAAAATTTCACGTCACAAATAAAATTTTCCTCAAGTTGGAAGGGGTACAAAATTATATTAGCAAGATATCAAATGAATCATCCACTAATATAGATATTGCCATAATCATACAACACAAACATATTTTAACTTTTTATTTATTACAAAACTTTTATACAAAACTACATAAGATATGTAGAAGAAATTTAGGTATATAAAAATGTAAGAAAATTGAGATATGTAGCAGATTTCAAATATTTCCTTGACTTATCAAATTAAGTGCCTAATTAGAAGAAAAGCTATAAACTTAATATGAATCTAAATGTGTCAAAAATTTAACAATTTGGCAACCCGCTACTGCTATTCATGCACTGGAAGTACACTGCTGACCTGTCAATATTGTCCGGTCTGATACGGATGCTTAAAATGTACTAGAGATACCTTCTGTCTAAAGATCTTTGGTACAGGATCAATTAAATGTCATGGATAATTTTTCCTGCCATAATTCTCCCTAGCTACTATTGGATTTATAGCTGAGAACTGCAAAGATAAATACTTGAACATGAAACTTTTTAAATCAGCTGGGTATCATTTAAGTAATTCACTCACTGTGAAGAAAAGTACATAATTTCATTTAGATTTTCTAGCATGAAATTTTATACTTTTCTTTGAATAGATATTATAGTTTTTAATACAGTCCTTATAATTTATCAAGTTTGGCATACTTAAGTATGCTCTATGCTCCTTTTATTGCCTTCCAGTAATTAGTTTAAAGATGGGTTTCATCACTTTTTCTATAAATAAATTATAATTATCATCATGCTTTGGAAACTTAATTACCACTGTATTAATGTTGTAATGAGATCCAAAAGCTTCTGTTCAAGTTATGCTCTAACAGAAACTAAAGGAATTAAGTAACGTGTTTTTCTTCGTCCCCTCCCCCCCGGGGGAAAAAAAAACACCTTCCCTTCTGCAAAATGGTAATGCAACTAAGAAGGCAAAAAATATTTATAAATACCAACAATTAGTCTTTTTGCCATTTTAGAATAATCTGTAATTATGGTTTCATTACAACATACAGAAGAAATTTATGGAGTATCATAGTTAAGTAAAAACAGAAATTATTCAAGAATGTTAGGATGGTTTTCAAAACATTCACTACTATTTGCAAATGACCCAATGCATAAAATGTAATAAAAAAAATCGGTATACGCGAAACAGTATTCATTGCAAGGTATAGACAAAACATATTAGCATAAAGTAGCAATTTTAGTTACTTGCAGCATTAACCTTTAAATGCACAGGTAAAAGTGCAGAACTGAATACATTTCTAAATGCTTAAAATATATATTTTCTTCTTTCAGAAACGAGATTATTACTCATAGTCTTAGAAGAAGTCTCATATATAATATACATCCATCATTTAATTTTGTAATTAATTCATAGTTCAAGAAATTACAACAAAATGCAATTAAAATTCATTTTTTACTAAATTGGCATTAATATTATACTGAACCATTACAGTAATTACTTTGTAACCACTAAAATACAAAATAACATTTATCACAGATCTGCACAAAATCTGAATAAATATCACAAGTTGTACTTGCTAAAATATTTGAAACATAATATTTTAATTCCAATTACATCAAAATAATCTTAAGTATGAGATTTACTGCATATTCCTTAAAAAGGTGGCACAGACGTTTTATGTAACATGATGCAAATTTAAAAACACAACAATACAGAAGAAAAAATCACGATACATATAAACTTCAAACATAATATATAGCTACAAAATAACACTTAGAAGGGAATACATTTTCATTGAAATGCAGGTACTGAAAAAGTAATTCAATCTAAATTATTTCAAAAACAATATGCATCTCCCTTGGGTGTAAATAAATTAAGACAATATCTCAACATAAAATTAGTATTACCTATTCAAAATATTTATAATTTTTTATTATAAACATAATTATGTAGTAAAACTCTGCTTGAAAGAAAAGGGAATACATAAAATAATTCTAATACATATTGCTGCCACATTCTTTCATTTAGATTTAAATGAGTGAATCACAATCATACATCTTTCATTACAATGTAGAGGCCAAAGTTATAAATTTATGGCAACTGTGTGCAGACAGAACAACCACATCATGTTTATAAAAGATTGAGGCATTCAGTAGACTATTTGGCAATGAAATGCACTGAGTTCAGAATCACATATTTCACTTATAAAGTGAACAGCGCTTCATGAAAATATGGGGGAAATGTACAATATGTTTATATCATGAACTTCCATTGAGCACATTCTTAGGTGGTTCCAATAAATCAGCATATTCATGCAAGGCTTCACGAAGTGAACAGCACACTTGAGCTGACGTTGAGGTTGTGCAGTCAACAAGACTTGGATAAAGAGAAATCAGCTGTTCCCAAATAGTCCATTCAACTAAAAGGAAAGATAATTCAATAAAACGTGGAAATCAAGAATTTAAACGAATATCAAAATAATCCTTCAGATAGCCAAATTAAAGTGATTTAAGTTTAAGTAAAGCTTTTGGAATAATAAATTTTGATTCCAGGATTCTAAGTTTGAGTTTAAATATAAAAACAAATTTCAGCAGTTACAATTTGCAAGCTATTAAGGAAAAAAAACTACTTCAAATACGCACTGTCATAATAAAAAGCAAAAAATCTCAAGTATTAAAATGAAACAATGAACCAAAACCATGACAAATTAACTCAAGCAGACAAATGAATACAAATTTTAATAAGAAACAAATCACTTTCAGAGAAATCTATTATGGAAATATAATACATAAAATGGCATTACAAAAAAAGTTATGTAAAAATTACTGAAACATAAAATTCTGGGCATCAATAAAAATTTCAATTTCAGTTTTAAAATCCCTAAAATATGAAAACTTGCAAAATAAATGCATTCAGAATTTTGACGAATCTCTATACTCAAAACAATTTCAAAATTAAAAATACATCACCTTTTGAATGAAGAATAGCATTAATTAATCAAAAATACATTACATATAGTTTAAAAATTTTCTATTATGATGCTTAAAATTCCAACTCTAATAAAATTATATCTAACATTTTGTAAGCATGCATATTCTCCAAGGAAAAAAATATTTGGGATTTAACCTGTTCATTAATGCAACCATCTTGGTACTAACTAATGTTACAAAATTTTGGAAAATGTTAAACAAATGATATTTATAAAAGGAGGTTAAGAATTTATTTCCTTGAAAAGCTACAATAACTTTTAATACAAAAAATATGTCACACATCAACTAATATAGAAAAGAGAAAAACATTGTGCTTTCATATTCAGTTATAAATTCATTAGATCACAATACATTACATATAGTTTAAAAATTTTCTATTATGATGCTTAAAATTCCAACTCTAATAAAATTAGATCTCACATTTTGTAAGCATGCATATTCTCCAAGGAAAAAAATATTTGGGATTTAACCTGTTCATTAAAGCAACCATCTTGGTACTAACTAATGTTACAAAATTTCGGAAAATGTTAAACAAATGATATTTATAAAAGGAGGATAAGAATTTATTTCCTTGAAAAGCTACAATAACTTTTAATACAAAAAATATGTCACACATCAACTAATATAGAAAAGAGAAAAACACTGTGCTTTTATATTCAGTTATAAATTCATTAGATCATTTGAACATAACTCTTTCCCTTCAAAATGTCATATTATTTCACCACCTTGAACATTGCACTTCTCAACTAATCATTTCTTGTATTTTTTAGGGGAATGCATCAGATATTGTGCAGCCGATTCTTCCCAATACACCAGAATTGTTGCAGCAATGAATTACGTAACTAAAAGCAGCTTTAGATGTGTGGCATGAAAATCGCTATTACTTTTATGTTGTAATTGGTATTTGTATGATGCACACATGTCTAGAAGATCAAACTTCCAGTTTTCTTCGATCATGTGATGCATACTTAGTTTTTATGCAATAACAATTGTCGCCCAGATGGTATAGTAGTTAGGGTAGCCTACAACAGTACCAAAGGGCCCACGTTTGAATCCTGAAGGAGACATGGATTTTTGTAAATGTATAGTGTCGGTGCAGCATGGCAGCACTCTAAATATGAGGCAGACCGAATGTCCTCTCATGTAGATTCCAAGTTGAAGTGGGAAGGTGGAAGGGGAGAAGAGAGATAGGAGACCAACAGATTCCCCCAGGGTGCTCTCCCTCAAACCTGGGAGTGAAAAATAGAAGCCCAACCTCTCTTCAGAGTAGGCTCTGGTAACCATTGTTCCATGTAATATAGACAACACTACACAATAATAAATTTTTGAGAACAAATACAATCTAAATCTAGTACTTCTTTCTGACACACCCTGTGTATTTCAGATACTTTTAAACTTTATCACAGAAAGCATTATATTCAAGAATCAGCAGGAGTGCTGACATTTTATGCATTTAACACCTGTATTACATGCATGAAATTCAATAATATTAATCAGAACTGTAAAATAAAATAACTTATCTCATTTCAGTTAATTAATTTGTTAAATAACCACATATACCTTTCTCAGGGTCAGCCTTTTTCAATGATTTAGCCAATGTAGCTACAGCCTTCAGGACAAAAGATATTTCAGACATTCTGTGCCTGTAATAAAAATTATAATAACTGGGACTGACATAGTAAGGTTCTCATAAACAAACAAAAAAAATTAGTTTTATAATTTTATTTTACCATTTTGCCAAATATGTTACTTCACTAACACATTAACTGAATAGTTAATTAAACCAAGTTCTAAATTCTGCAAATTCAAAATATTGATATCAGCTCATACTTCTTTAAGGGTTATAACAAACAGACTAAATCAAAAACAATTCCATTAAAAATTTAAAAATTCCTTTAAATTAACAAAAATTTTCTATGAAGAACACAAAATATTATCGAATGTTTTATATTTCCCATACTATAATCGCAAGGGGGGGATATTACTTTTTCATATCCAGAAAGGCGTGAAGGGTTTTGACTGTAGCTGTAAACCATAATTTCTAACCTTGCATTTTGGTTAAAATAGTATACTTTATTTTTAATCAAAAGTCTGCCATTGCAGTATCCCTCCTAAGGAGATACTCCTCAAGTGTTCTGCCATAATATGTAACCTAAATTTATTATTTTCATTAAATATACATGATAAAACATAAACTTCAAATTTATAGCTAGTTTAATGCTCTTAGTATTCCGCTGCACATAGAGGGTAGTTTTATATTTTGATATTTCAAGTAAGAAAATAAAAGCACTTTTTATATCACAAAATAATGACTTCTCAATGAAAGAAACATATAACATTTTCAGCAGACTTCTAGTATTAGGATAGAACTTCAACTTTGGGTAAGAAAGCTTTAAAGTGAACACAATCAAATCTAATAGATCATCATTTATATTTTAATTTGAGGGTAGCAGACCTAAAGCTGATCATTGAAGAGATGGAAAAGCTTCATGGTGGAAAAAAACAGAATGCAAACAGGATTCATAAAGATATTTTCTGAATAACAAGTTGCTTTCCTAGGCACTGCCACAATAAACTACTGAACACTGATTTGCCCTTCAGAAACACAGTTGTTCAATTAGTTAATCTGCTTGTGCTCTGTAATATTTATTGTACACTAAATAAAATGATATTCAAAATCAGTAATGAAGACATTTTTTTTCAAAATATTAAAACAATTATAAAAATTTGAGTACTTTTGAAATTTTAAAAAAATTTCCAGAAATATCAGGGAACACCCAAGCAAGACTAAATTTCATACCTAGGTAAAGGGCATTTTCCACTAAGTCTTTCATCTTCAGCATACTTATGAATTACTTCTTTAAATCTATGAAGAAGAGAAGTTACTGCCAATAAATTCACAACACCATCATCATCAATATCAATCCCACTTTCTAGAAATGAGAACTGCAGCAATGTTTCAAAGCATGATTTTGCAAACTCTTCTCTAAGTTTTCTACTAGAATCAATGTCTGGAATAAAAATAATAAAAAAGGTAACTATATACTCTAAAATTTAAGATTTTCTTTAATAGCTTTTTAAAAGGCATACGAAAACACTAAATGCATAATTTTCTTGTAACTTAAAAAATGTATAACATGCAAAAATACATTATAGTTATCAAAACAAAATATTTCTCTCTTTCAGTACATCTAAAAGACACACACACACACAAAAAAAAAAAGGTGGGAAAGCACATGACTTCTAGAAATAAAACATTATTTAAATAAAAAGTAAAGTGAAAAGGTACATTATATTCACCTGAAAACATTTAGGATGACAAATGAAATGGAGAAGAGAATAAATAAGCAGTATATTATGTACAGTAAATTATGTGTTCCTCTTTCTTGTAAATTCAAGATTAGAAAATGCATCATATAAAGCAACAAGTTTTCAACTAATAACCTTCAGACTTCATTTATGACCTGATAGCAAAAAGAAATGAATGAAAGTGTGTGTGTGTACGATTTTGAATTTGAAATGGCCAATAAATATTATCCAATGGAAAATTAATTGATTCTTCAAGAATCTAACTGGTTATTTACAAGAACTGATTATATAAATTATGGCCAAATACTATTAATATACAATGTCCAAAGAATGACAACACTAAAACCAAAATTGTGGCAATTTCACCATAGAAGGAACAACTCAATTCCTTCTAAAACACTCTATATTGTGCACAGTAAGTATTACACAGCACTCATTGCTATTTTAAGATTTAAGAATAAATTACAAGATTTTACAAGTCCAAATATACCAAACATATTTGCTATTCTATTCTCAGTTGACATTAAATTTACCTACAAACTTGCAAACAAAAACGAAAGTGTTACTAAAAGATATGCAGAGTAAAGGAAATGCATTCAGTTGTAATAACATACTAAAAAAAAAAATTCCAGGACTTTTCTAACATTTGCTCTCCATGACTTCTGTTCGTGCATTTATATTTGAAAGCAATTTTATTTTCAATACCAAACATACAAAATAAAATGTGAAAACAAAAATTTCAGATATTAAAATGTTCACAATCAAAATGTTATTTAAAATTTTTTACTAACAAATATCTTTTTGATTGAAAAGTAAATGCAGTTTTGTCACACAATAACTAAATTGATCATACTGTAAATATCAATAAACATAAAATTCTGCAACAAGGTCTTGACATATTATTTATAAAATTGCCATGGAAAATGCCCTAAGCGTACAAATACACGTATGTATAAATTGTTATCTTACCAACTGGACTGTTATTTGTAGCAGAATGAATTGAACCTTTATTTAATAAGGTGACAATTCTGGTGATAAATTCTCGTGGAAGTTGATTTGCATATGGCAAAATTCCATCCCGCACGAGATGTATAATCTGTAAACCAAATTACCATGATTAAGAAATAAATAAAAATAACATTATTGGGAATCATATTTAAAACACAGCTACTGTTTATAATATGTTTGTAATAGCAATAAAGCTACCTTACAATCCAGTGCCTCATCACATTGCTGATCTTCAAGGCTTTGTGTAGGAGATGGCAAGCTTGATTAAAGAATGATAGTTATATCAGAAATGAATGTCAAATGATATAAGTAAAAATTAGAAACAAATAATCTCTGCAAATCAAATTAAACTTGAATATGACACATAAAATAGATGCTGCAGATGGGAGGATACTTTTTTCTAGTTGGCTAACAAAATTTAATTCTTGGTTTTAATGTCCCAAAGAGAGAGTTAACATACTGGCTGCCAACCACAAGATAACCTGTGATTGGCAGTTCTCCTGGAAAATGTAACCCACAAGTTAACTTGTTTTTCCAGAAGAGCTTTTCAGTATTCACCACAAGTTAACAGCAAATGCTTGGAAATTTTGTGGGCTAGGTGTCTATCAACAGTACACGAGTAAAAAGAAGATGTCATAAAAACAGATTTATTTTTTATACACGATTTTCAAAATATAAAAAAGAAACTAAGAATTAGAATAATGAAGGCTCTCTTCACATGCTGGGCAAAAATATAATGAGTTTTGATGTATCTTTTCAATAATGCAAACATGGCAGGTCCTCATTGGTCGAAGAGCCTTTTTTTATGAAAGGTATGCTTTCTATGTAATGAAGTTCAGTTTGCTTTAACTCTTAGCATTTTTATCATTTTGTAGTTAGAAATAAAATAAACTGTTATCTAAATTTATAAATAAACTGAATAAAACATGCTGGCATTCAGATTAGATTTCTTCAAAATAGGCTGGGCAGTCTACATGTTAAGAAATACTTATATGCAGCACCATACTAAAATACTTTTGCTAGTATAACATCATGGTTACTTTCTTCTCAGTTTAATTCTACACTTGTAAATATACTAAACAAGCACAGTGAAAAACCATAAACACACTTGCATTTAGTTTGATGTTAATTTACACCAAAAATAATTTCACTTAACCAGATTTGAATTTATGTAAACCTTTGCTTACTTTAGAGTTCAAGGAATGAGAAATTGTTAATTAATGGCAACTTTAATCTCTGAATAATTCTGCATTTTAATCCTATTTTCATTAATGAGTGGGAAAAAAATTCTTAATTTGGACATCTTAAAAATAGTTAAGATATTGAACATTCAGAAGTTTTTATTAGAAAAGGAATAATCTCATTTATTTATAAATAAAATTAATTGCAACTCGGATGGTCTGCTATATGAAAAGAACAGACTTGAATTTAATATCTCATAAAATCATGGCAGCAAAGACGCCATGGTTAAATGAGGCAAGCGATAATAATGATCTATACAGCCTTTAACTATACACCACTTAAAATAAACATTTATGCATAATAAAGCCAACATAAAATAAACAAACATGCACAAAAAATAAGACCTAAAATCTAACAATTGAAATTTAAGCAGTTTCTCAGGGGTCAAGAGAGATAGCTTTGGCAACTATTTTGTCATTTAGCATTGCAACAGTCTACAGATTATCACTTTTATAACTGTAGCCAAACAAAAACTTTGCTAAAAGCTGGACTTTATGATTTCACAGATGTCAAATGATGAAGAGTCTGACATTCTTTCACACACCAAAAAAAGAAGAGAATAATGAATGAGTTAGTTCACTAGTAGAGACATTAGGTTATTTCGAAGCAGGAGAAATGAAAAATGAGCAATGCCCTCGCCGGAACTCGAACCATGGCCCTCTCAAATATGTGTCGAGCCTGCTGACCACTACACTATGAAGGCATGCTAAGAAGGTGGGAGAAATACCTTATATACTCTCCCCCTTTTAAAGGGTGACTAGGGTTTGGGGGACCCAATCGCCAAATCCTGGCGGTGAAAAATCATCATTCACCACCTTTTAGTTCGGGTGCCAGTGTTGAGTCATTAGGCTATTTTGATGCAGAAGAAATGAAAAATGAGCAATGTTCTTGCTGGGACTCGAACCATGGATCTCTCGAATATGCGTCGAGCATGCTGCCCACTACACCATAAAGGCACGCTAAGAAGGCAGGATATACACTGTTCTATACCTTATGCACTGTTCTAGTATATTTTATTTACTCTTCAGTAGAGAAAGAGCTAGTTCAAATTACTGCAAGATAAAGTAATGTGTTGTTACTAAACCAGCAGCAAAGCTATACAGCAGCCAAAGATAATAATAACAGAAGAAAAGCACTGTGAACCCAAAACTGGTTTGATGGAATCATTCACTTCATGAAACTTTAATATTTTTCTCAAATGCTCATTTCCAATTACATTTTCAAGCCAAAAAATATCCTAATCATATCATTAGGGTTGCAGTTATTATTTCAGGATACATCTCTAGACACCATTTAGATTTGGCAATGATTGTTACTCTGCCAATATAAAGCATTGTGATATTTTAACTTTTATTATGACTAAAAATTGTATATTTTTTATCATATTAGAACGGAAATTTCTAAACAAATTCATGATTTGGGGGGAATCCACAGATCTGAACAACAGTTGTGAATGATTTGAGAAAGACTTTAAAAAACTTCAACATCCTAAAATTTTAAAATTACCATAGAAAGGTGTTTGAAAGTGGTGAAAAATAATTTTATGTGCTTTTATTTTACATGCTTTTTTAAAAAACTTAAGTATATTAAATATAAATTTATTCACAAAAGAGGCAAAAAGAAAAACTCTAAAATCCACACAACCTCAGGTCACAAGCTGTGCAGATTTTTGACTTTCTACTGTATATTCAGTGTGATGAGATTAGTATTCACAACTTTAAGGGGTGATAAGATTTGGCAAAAGTAATAAATTTTACAATACAATGCATGGTGGAATAAGAAAGTAGATACGGTATGTATGAAGAATGAAAAGTCATTTTAGTCATGGATATTTATACAAATTGTTGAAATGAACAGCATGCAGTTGCAATGATGACAGATTTTGTTTACAGCACATGGAGCGACTCCTGAAGACCTCATCTGAGTCAGCATGCAACTGCAAAGGTATATAACATATCATGCGTCTTTCACAATGCCAGTGACTATGTCATCATTAATGAGGACCAGCTTTGAATTTATAGATTATGAAAAAGCAACAGAAGCAACTGTCAGCCTAACAGAATGGATGCTGTTCATATTCAGGTCACGCATGGAGAAAACCACTAAAAGTTCCTTGCAGTGAACCCATTTGCAGGAATTTAATCCCAAATCAAACTACCAGTGTTCAGTGATATAATCCACTTGGCCACTGGTAGGCAAATTTGCTAAGTATAAAAAGCTGTGGCAATCTGTGTCAACATTAGACCTATATTTGAAAATTTAAACAAAATACTGCTTGTTGCAGCACTTTTTCCAAAGATGATTGTGTTAAAATAGTGTTAAAATGTGTGATGATATTTTCAGGTTTCAACAGTAAAAAATTACTAATTTTATTAGCTGTATTATAAAAAAAACACAAGCTATCTTAAAAATTTTCTGCATAATAAGTGATGAGCATTACAAGTAATTTCTGCATAAAATCATAAAAATAAAAACAAAGGCATTAATTATCACATGTACTTCAAATGTATATTATCTAAGCCTTATTATTCACAACAATAACATAAACAACACATTTGCAATTCTATTCTGAATAAAAAAATAAAAGCAAGTACACAGATCATTATCTAATGTTTTACACTAGATTCTTACCTGGCAGGAAACAGGAAATCCTCCAATGCATATGCAAGATCAATCCACATACCTTCAAACTGGGCAGCTTAAATTATTAAATTATCATATTATAAATTGATATTGAACATATTATACACCAGTGGGGAAAAAAAGAGAAACTTGAATACCATGCCTGAACTAGACTAATAATTAGTTAAGTAATAATAGAAATTTGTGCATAATTAAGAAATAATGAAGATAAATAAATATGTAAGTTGAAACAATACATAACACATTAATGCAGCATACAAATTAAATAGATTGACAGATAAAACACAGAAAAGTTATCAAACTAGTATTTCTTCACTTTATCACACAGCAACACTGAAATGTCTGAGATAGATAAAGCTGCTGCAAGTCATCCATTATTAATAGCAACATCTTGAAGGTTCTGAAGATAGTTAACTAGCTAGCAGAACATACCTCCACAAGACTCTCCTACAACTGTTAGATATAAAATATAACTGGCATGTGTCATAAGTGACTGCAATGACTACTGCACACTACCATTTTAAGAGGAGCATATACTGGCATAAATTGAAAGGCTCTTCACGACAGCTGGTGCTTTGCAAGATTTGTGGCAAATACATTCTTAATGGTGAATATATGACAGTTATTCTTAAAAAAAGCAAAGAAATAAAGTTGCAAATTTGTACAATGATGGGGAAATGACAAACATAATAAATTTCAGGTACGCAACTTTGGTATTTGTTGAAGCAACTAAGTGGCATATTATAGGGTGGCTGTAGCAGTGTATTTATGGCATCAAGGAATAATCATAAATTTAAAAAAGCACAAAAATTCTCAAATGGGAATAATGACAAAAAGATTCCACATGGTTTTACTTTTTACAATATATCCTGCAGCTGTCCAATATACATAACCACATCAGCACAATCAGTAGTAAGAATACAAAATTTGAGAAGATGGATATTTACAGCAAAAGCAAGTTAAGATGATGGTCAGTTCCAAATCCTCTTTATGAACAGTAGTGTGTTACCAGTTATCATATCAAACTATGAGCAAGTTATTCACCATTTTTTTCTCCTTTCAAAACATTCAAAAGTTTTTAACTTATAGCAATATCAAATATCAATGCTCCAAGACTTTACATTTAAGTATCTGCAGCGATAGAAGATAGTGTGACAGTAGTGATAGAAGAGTTCCTAAAAAATGGCTCCAGGGGTTAATGAAGTAATGCTGACCAAGGTGGATTTTCGATGCGAGATGACTCACAAGTGATTTTTGTAGTTATTCTACAACAGGATATCCATGACATACTGAATATGTTAACAACAGTCTCAGCACTGGTGTGACTTATAAAGACAGCTTTTAATATGCAAATATGATGACTTATAACAATTAGGCAACATGTGAGCTCTGAACAAAAGAATGATACAGTGGTACTGATGTGAACATATTCAAAACAATTACTAGGAATACTGAAGTAATCTAAAGAACTTATGTATTACAATATTTTTTTTTAAATTTTTATCAAAGACTACAAAAATGAGTTCACGCCTTTACACAGGGCATTCAAGTATACACCACATAAAATGTGCACTGTGGTACAAATATGACAGATATGAGTTTAATTTGTAGTTCTGCATATTTTATTATAATTATTTTTCATCAAAAGAAATTAATTATTATGAGTTGGAATATTACAGTATAAATATAACAGTAGTAAAGATTTAAAGCTGATTTAAACTTCCTGTTTCTATTCACACTGTAATAGAAAAATAAGCTGAATTACTTCTACACAGCTATTTAATTTTAACAAAGTATGTTGGGCCGTCAACCAAAGGAGGTATATCTTTACTGAAAGCACTAAGAAAAATTAATTTGAACTTACATTATAGGCAAGGAACAAAACCTCCAAAATATCTGTGATCTAATCCATTTTACGTTTGTAATGTAAAGTGTAGATCAAACCAATCATTCGGGATACACTATCTCAAATTTTTACATTAATTAGCTAATTATGAATTTTTTTAAAAACAATGAAAAGAAATTTTAATTAGTACCCTCTTTGTATTCTCTGTATTGTTCATATCATAAGTGACTTTTGTCTTGAGACTTCACAAATAAAGTGCCATTAAAAGAACTGTATGGGCAGCAGAGGGAAAAAAATTAGTTCCATGAAAATACTACACAGAGTTACATTTTTTTTTTTTTTTTAATAATGAGACAATATCTACTTGGTTTCCTGCTATATTGGTTGAAGATGAAATAATTGTCCCTACCAAAATGCAAACAAACCATTAAGAATGAGGAACAATGAGTAGCCACTGGCTACCATGAATGACTGTCATGGACTACCCACAGATATCTTTCTCAGCTAAAGCAATAAAAGTCGGGAGATTTCCCTAATAAGGAGAAGATGATGCTGGTTTGATAGTTGTACCACAACTGGCTTTGAAGGATATAACGTTTTAGATATAAAATTTGTACTATTGGTTTAAGGAAGCTAAATACTGCTCACCCACAAGTAGTATAAACAAAAGAAAAGTTCTGTTTAAAAGATACATTAAAAGAGAGAATCAGTTTTGAGGAAGGTAATGTGCATTGATGAAGAAAGACAATGTCTGTAATCTGCATACGATTCCTATTCAAAAGCCATACAACTATAGTTGATTTAAAACATTATGGAAACATTATTATTAAACACATTATTAGAATTAACTTTATGAATAACAAATTAAACATTCAACAATTATAACAGACACATATGTTCGCGTGTAACACTCATGAGACTCTGAAGATCTGAAACAGCGGTTGCAGAAGACGGAAAAGAAATGGGTTAATAGGGGGTATGGTCCACTCTTACAGCCATACAGGCCTCGCAGCGTGATGTCATACTGGAAATGCGGCATTTTATCAGTGCCTGTGGCAACTGGTCCACCCATTCAGAATGCTGTTTCCAGTTCCTGGACGGTTCTCGAAGGGGTGATGCGAGTTGCATTTGCCCTACCCAGAGCATCCTAGACATACTATATACAGTTGAGGTCTGGAGACCTGGCTGGCCAATCCATCCGGCGAATATCCTCACTCTCGAGAAATTCGTTGACAAGAAAGCTCTATGTGGCCTCGCGTTATCGCCCTGTAAGATGAGTTCAAGGCCAACTGCACCCCAGAAAAAGCAAACATAGGGCTCCAAGACCTCATCCCTATACCACACACCAGTCGCAGAGATCTGTCAAAGACGTGGAGAGGTGTGCAGCCATCCAACATGATGCCTGCCCAGACTATTACACCACCACCACCATTATTGCTGATTTAGCAGACATTGCAGGGTAGGTAGCAGGTCCATGGCTCTCTCCATATGAAAGTACTCGAGAATCGGTATTTAGGCTAAAATGGGACTCATCGATGAACAGAGCGGTCACCTTTGCCCCGTACTCCAAACACTATGCTGCCTGCACCATGCTAATCGGACTCTCCTGTCCATAGACATGAGTCGGACGCAAATAGCCGTTTTTTTTTTTTGGAAAACAACCCTCTCTCATCCAGTCTTTTGGAAACAGTCACCTTTGTTACACAGGTTCCTGTGGCTGCATACAGGTCCAGAGAGAGTTGAGAAGCTGTAGCCCCTCTGTTACGTCTCACTAAAATGGACAAATAGTGATCTTCTCTGGCCGTCGTGGCTCTTGGATGACCTTGCCCAGGCTTTCTCTCGTTAGATCCTGTATTCTGGAACTGTTTCCATAGATTACACACGATGCTGGACATTAAATTAAACTCTCTCCATATCTGGACTTGCGACTGGCCTACCTCTAACCTTCCCACAATTTGCCACCTCATTCCATCATCTAAACGTTGGTGGTAACTCATTTTTACTGTTCTGATGTGAATTTAACTGATTGCTGCAAGATAACACCAAGAAATTCTTAGAGGTGTGCTAGCGAATGCAATTCATCATACTCTCCACACGCTTATACAGCCTGTTTTTTCTGCTAGCTCTGCTTACACATGTGTACGCTTACATATTTCCTGTACAAAAGTTGCATTTTTATCAAGAAGCATTGGTTTTTTTCTTCAGTTCAGTTCTTTTCGTGCAATTCAATAAAATACACAAAAAATGTACATATCAGAAATTAACAACTTCCCCCACGTCAGATGTCAGAAATTTTATATTTTAGAAAAGAATGTCATTTGGAAGTAAAAGGGAAGGTCAGATATTGAGGAACTGCAATGAAACTGATTCTTTTTGATTTCTTAGATAATTATTTGGTTAATTAATCTATTTGGGGAAGGACTATTTTTTAGTAATAGTCATGCCTATATTAAGATCTGATTTTTGCAACAACAGAAAAATCAAAGAGAAACAGTAATAACAACTAAAGTGAATTACAAACAAAACATAAGTCTGCTGACCTATACATAACATAAGTAATGTCGTTTTTCGAGACAGGACTTGTTAAAACGTGTTTGAACACATTTAAATTATTTTTCGTGGATCTATAAATAACCTGAGAGCAATCCAGAGCAGTAAGCACATCGAAGTTGCAACTTCTCATATTTTAGAGGAATAAATGTTAACTGGGTCACCAGTTGTTATAATCTATGATAATGCCTACCAAGTGGTGCATTCAGAGATGTTATCTTAGATTATGCAGTTATATTAAGCTATTTCATGAATAATTTACTAACTGGCATTATTACCCTGTCAACTCTATTGATCAGCAGTTTTGGGACATAAGCCTAACTCGATGTTCTTTTATATTAATTATACATTTCTCAGCAAACTAATGTCTGGCATTTATAAAAGGTCCAAAAGTTGGCTTCTCTAACGCTGGAATTAACTGCAACTGCCACTATTATGACATGTTAAGGCTATCTAAGATCTGGATTTTCACATTCTAAAAGACTTTTCTAAAAGCAAGAAGCATATCAAATAATACTGAATTGCAATCATAGTTTCAGTTTCCTGCCACAGGTTATTATAATAGTATTTCATTCTTTTACACAGGACGTCTCCCATAAATTGCCCACTGTGTATCTTAATTTGCATGAACTCATTTCAGTATATAGAAGAAAATTATCATGATAAACATATTTAGTGAACAATTACATAAAAAAACATGTTAACTGTACTGTATTTTACTCATACATTAAAAAAATATCAATGCTAAAGTTACACAAAAAACAAACTGCTATGAAATAAACCACACATACAGTAATATATTTCATTTAAGAGTTCATATAAAGTTGTGAATAAAATTCTTATTTAATTACTAATTTAATGATGTATATTTAAATATTTTTGAACAATACTAAATTCCACATATGCATTCAGGACAAAAAATTAATATTACTATCATCTTTTAGAAAATGATTTATTATCTGATAATATTGCTCATAATGTAAAAATGAATATTAATATGCTTACGATATTGACGAGCAACGGGCAGTCCAGAATACAAAACTTTCAATAAAGCATTCACTGCTAACTTCCATGTCATTTGAGAAGGACAAGCATACTTCATACTTAATGGCAGTCGAAGTGACTAGAGGTAAATAAAATTCATATTCACTTAATGTAATGAATTAACAAAATTACAATTTAAATCTTTTCAACAACACTAACTGTTATCACTCTTGACTGATTAAAATTCTTTTATTTAGTCATTATACTAAATTTTTTGCTAAGTTCTTCAATAATCTAAAAATTATTTTCAGATAGATTATGAAAACAAACAGCAATAAATGCATGAATAGTTCTAAAGAGTTCTACCACACAAATGGTTAAAACAAGGAAAATACGTATACAGTCAACACTTATTTAATAATCTTAGTGGTATGTATTTTGGATCAGCTTGTGAAAAACTGTATTTACACAGATTTTAACACCTAAATTACTTACTCTAGTCTCTGTTAGTATAAATTCCCGTTCATTATAATGATAAAGAATGATTCAGCAATCCAGTAAAGAAAGATTCAATAAAGAAAGTAAGAAAATAAAATAATTTAAAATATAAACTAATACAATCAAAAGTCGTTAATTTGGACACCCATAATCTGTAATGATCTATAATCTGGACCTCAAAGCTACAAACTTTCTGCGCATGCGTCTAGTTGACGCATGCACGTAAGACCCTAACGGCTGTGAATATGCGTGTGTGCATGTGCAAAATACATTTACGAATCCGCGTTTAATGTATAACGGACGGTATAGGCTAAGCTAATATTATCTAATTCAGTTAATGTTGCAGATTGCACTGTTCCTTAATCTTTGAATTGGATCCGGCTTATTATTTTTTGCAGACTGTTAGAGCAATTTTATAAAAGTAAGCTTGAACTTTTGATTATGTCAAAATAGAATTTCTGATATATATTTACTAATATGTAAAGGATCTACAAAGTGAAAGTATGTTTCGAAGTCCAGCAGATGTTTTTATTTTATTTGGCTTATAATTCCTTACTAAATGTAGTATTTCATCTGGATGTACTCCGTTTTTGATACGAGGGCTATCCAGAAAGTAGATTACGTTTTGGAATAAAAAAATAAACAAAGTATAGGAAACAAATTTTATTATATACAGATGAAAGCCACACTCAAATACTACTTTTCTACATAGTCACCATACAAATTAAGGCATTTATCGTAGCGATGTACGAGCTTGGAAATTCCTTCGTCGAAAAACCCGCCGCCTGCGCCTTCAACCACTTCATTACCTCTTCTTGCAGCTGTGCGTCGTCATCAAAACGCTGCATAGCCAGCCACTTCTTCATTGCTGGGAATAGGTGGAAGTCGCTCGGTGCCAGGTCGGGACTGTACGGCGGATGAGGAAACAACTCCCACTTAAAAGATTCAAGAACTTTACGAGTGACATTTGCCGTGTGGGGCCGGGCGTTGTCGTGAATCAACAAGATCTTAGAGCTCAACATTCCTCTGCGCTTGTTTTGAATTGCTCTTCTGAGTTTTTGGAGAGTTTGGCAATACCTTTGAGAGTTTATTGTAGTGCCTCTTTCCAGGAAGTCCACCAAAATTACACCTTTTCTGTCCCAAAAAAAAACAGTCGCCATCATCTTCCTTGCCGACATTGTTTGCATGCATTTCTTGGGTTTTTGGGGAGAACTTGTGTGCCCCCACTGCATTGATTGCAATTTCGTTTCACAGTTCACATGTTTCACCCATGTTTCGTCACCAGTAACGATGCGATCGAGTAAAGAGTCACCATCCTTATGGTAAGCGTCCAAAAAGTTCAACGCTGCAGCCATTCGCTGATTTTTGTGGTCCTCTGTCAAGATTTTTGGAATCCATCTTGCACAAAACTTGTGGTAACCAAGCTTTTCGCTGATGATTTCGTGCAACAAACTTCGCGAAATTTGTGGAAAACTCAAAGAAAGTTCCGTTATTGTGAAATTTCGATTTTCACGGACTTTAGCATCGACTTTTTCGAGAAGTTCGGCGGTCACTATGCTGGGTCTCCCACTTCGATCTTCGTCGTGAACATTGGTTCGGCCATTTTGAAATCTTATGACCCACTGACGCACTCCACCTTCAGTGATAATGTTGTCCCCATACACTTCACGAAGCTGCCGATAGATTTCTATCGGTTTACAGTTTTTTGCAGTCAGAAACCTTATTACTGAGCGCAGCTCGCGGGATTTTCAATTAACGCAGACATTTCAAACCGTCACAGTATCTGAACGGAGCACAGCACGAACCTCTCACTAGCATAACTAGATGCAGACTGAGCTGCGCAACGCTCTGACCCCAAGATGGCCGCGCTAGCCCCGCCCCTAGCGGACACAGACGGAAACGTAATCTACTTCCTGGATGGCCCTCGTATGATTTAAATCCAATTCCTTGTCATTATAATTCGCTTCTGATAGCGAAGAAAGTGACACAGATGTTATTGAAAACGAAAAAATTTCGATTGGCAAATTAGTCGGTATTCTCGACACAGCAACTATAGGACTTGAACAGCAGAACTTCGTAACTGAACAAGAAATTATGTCTGTTTATAGAATTAAAGAGAAAGTATTATCACATAAAAAAACGAAGCAACTTAAACAACTTACATTGAAAGAAATGTTTTTTTTTTTTTTTTGTTTGTTTAATAAAGTAAACAATATTAAGCTTTTTTTTTTTTTGTAAATTTTGATACCCTTTAGATCATAATTGTTCTTTATTTCATAAATTACGGTTTCATATTTTTAATTTTATAATTTCTGCATGCCATCTTACCAGATTTAAACTGATGATCTATAATCCAGAAAAATCGATAATACGGAATCGCTGAAGTCCTGACGAGTCCGGATTAACGACTTTTGACTATATATACAAAGTAACAGAAAATCTTATGATCGGATAAAGGTGGCCATGCCACTCTGAGTTAAATCGAAACCTGACAGAACAGAAATCTGAGTTAAACAGAAATTTATACACTAAGCAATTATACATTGAAAAAACTACATTGAGACATGAACACTCAATTAAATACATTATATTGTTGAAACAAAAGAGATTGTACTTATACATTCCACTGCTTATGACAGAAATTCACAAATTACAGCCACAAACGACCTGGTGCAAACTAATTTGACAGCCATTAAGAATATAATTAGGCTATCTCGATTCAAAGTATAAAAGAATTACAAAAGAAACCATAGTAAACACAAATTCAGCACATTCAAAATTAGTTCATAAAAATTATTCTGCAGAGTACTCATAAAAGTTTTTAAGACATTATTACACCAGTTTGATGTCTTTATTAGAAAACTTCCAGGAATAATTGCTATTAATTCTCAAACTGTGATATCAAAATATCAAACACAAGCTGGCAGCAAAATATTACCGCACTGAATGTGAACTTGGAACGGACTTAGAAATGGCTTCACAAAAAGCCACCACATAACATAATTACTCCTAGCAACAAATTATTTATCATGTAGTACATTTAGATGACAGCAAAAGTAACATAATGGATGTGCAGGTGGAGCAAAATCACCACAGAGTTTGATTAAACCATTGAAAAGTCTTACAGAAACACGGTTTGTTATTACCAAACTATTGGTAATCAGATAGTATTAAGAGACATGATGCCTCGATGGCATAAGAGGTTCCAGAAAGTAGGATTTTTGTTAAAGGTGATTCATCATTACACCAGATTTCACTAACACAATATCTGGGAAAATACGACTGCCGTGATGACACTTGCTATCAAACTTGATCTCCTTTAAGATCTGACAAGATGACTTAAACAGCTGAAAACTTAACGAAAAAATCATCCGTCACATGTTACCACAGGAAGACAAAAACCAGAACTGTCACTGAGCTGTTTAAAAGGACTAGAAATAATCCTGCACTGAAATTTCACACTGCTACTGAAAATGAAAATTAATGCTTTAGTTATGAATTCCAACCTTGAAAAATATTTCATAGTGAGGTCATGGGTTCACCAACCTTAAAAAATGACTATAATTGAAAATACAGACAATGTTAATTGCATATTGATACAAAAGTGTATTGCATCACAAACTTTGGTCTCAAGTTTAGATGAGGAGCTACAGCTTTTGTGATCACATAATGAAATGTTCATATCAGGCAGTCAGTGTTATCAACCTGACGACTGATGCTATAGGCATCATCTCAGCAAGGCCTGCTATATCCATAGAGGAATATTTGGATTAAAAGGTCTGGTTCAAAATATACTCAAGTCCAAAACTATCTCCAACATGAATGAAATCATATATTTTGTCGACATGAAAGCAAATTGTTATGGAAAACATTGCCTTTGTAATTAGAAATTAATATTTGCACAGCTAGAGAAGACGTTTGACGATTTGAAAAAGTGTTTTGAACAAAAATGAGTGGATTGTGAAGTGACAAGAGGTATATCAGTTGGAGGATTGCCACCAAAAGAGTAAAGGAATTATCAGAGAATGCGGGAGGGATTGTAATGAATATTTTATGTCACATCGAGCAGTTGTTGTTGTCGTGTCTATATTACATGGAACAATGGTTGCCAGAGCCTACTCCAAAAAGAGTTTCGACTTCTGTTTTCCACCCCCAATTTTAAGGGAGAGCAACCCGGAGGGATCCGGGGATCTCCCACCCCTCTCCACTCCCACCAATCCACACGAGAGGATTTTCGGCTCACCACATATTTAGAGTCCCACCATGCCGCACCGACACTACACATTTACAAACATCCATGTCTTCTCTGGGATTCGAACCCAAGCACTTCGCTACCATAGTAGGCTTCCCTAACAACTATACTGTCTGGGTGATGAGCAGTTATAAACAGAAATAATGATTCTACCAAAGTTTGCATTATACACAATTGTAGTTTGAAAACTAAGAAAGCTATATCATTGAATGATTGTTTAGAAAGTTTGCCCTTCGCTACCATAGTAGGCTTCCCTAACAACTATACTGTCTGGGTGATGAGCAGTTATAAACAGAAATAAGGATTCTACCAAAGTTTGCATTATACACAATTGTAGTTTGAAAACTAAGAAAGCTATATCATTGAATGATTGTTTAGAAACTTCTCAAAATTAAAATTTTTTATGTACTAGATGTATTATTGAATTTCAGAAAATTTAAAATTGCGTTCAATAGGGACATCGAAAAAGCATTTTTCATGATTAAAAATTGCTGAAAAGGATCATAAATTTCTGAAATTTCTTTGGCTTCCAGATAATAAAAATGCTGAATATAAAATTATGCATATAAATAGGTTGCCATTTGGTTGCAAAATTTCACCTTTTATACTAGCTAGTACTATTAAAACCCACATCAGAAAAACTAATTCTGATTCAGTACACATATTAAATACAACATTATATGTAGAAGATTTATATTTTGGTGCAGAAAATGTGAATGAGGCATATAAATTATCAAATGATGCTGTTTCAATTTTGAAGGCTGATGGGTTTAACTTGCGGTAATTGAGATCCAAACTCTCCGGCATTGGAAAGATTACAGGATTTGAATAATCTTAATATTGAGAATAGTAGAAGACAAGCTGAAAGGTGCTAGTTGTGAATTGGATTCCTGAGGACGATATCCTTTTCCTTGATGCTAAACTATTGCTAGATATATTAAGTTCTGTGAAGAGTAATAAACATGGTATTCTGCAAGTAGCTGCTATGGGTTTTCACCCATTTGGTATTTCAGCTCCATTTGCGGTCAGAATAAAAAGTTTGTTGCATGAGATTTAGGAGAAAGGTATAAGTTGGGATGAAAAGTTACCAGATGAGCTCACAGAAAAATAGTTAATGCGGTGTTCAGAAATACAAGGGTCAGAGCAAATAAAGTTACAAAGGCATTGTTTGTTGGGGGCATGAGAATCATCAGGATGCTGCAGTTGAATTGCATGTATTTTCTGACGTGTCTCAAAATGCGTACGGAGCCATTGCTTATTTTCATTATCAGGATAGTTGCGGTTAATATCAAGGCATCATTTGTTATATCAAAAAATAAAATTGCTCCTCTGAAGAAAATTACATTGCCTCGTTTAGAATTAATGGCAGTTTTAATTGGTGCTCGAGTTGGAAAGTATATTTTCGGTCTTTTTGGAGATTTAATCACTAACCAAGTAGGTATATTGGGCTGACTCAGAAATAGCTTTATATTGGGTCAAGGGAAGTGCAAATGTTGGAAACAGTTTGTCGCTAACAGTGTTTTGGAAGTTCAGGAAGAAAAAGATCCTAAAAGTTGGTTTCACTGAAGGTTTGAAGATAATCCAGCAGATTTAATGACAAGGGGTATATCGGTTGGAGGTTTGATTTCAAGTGAAAAGTGGTTTTACAGACCATATCAGTTACCCAAAAGTAAGAAATGTTGGCCTATACAGTTGAAGGGACCTTAGTTAGATAATTCTACTGTGGAAAAAGAGGATTAGTTAAGAGTATGGTGGTAAGGTTAAGCTTAGTTGAAGAATTGTGGAATAAATTGTCTTCGTGGAATCGATTGCTTAAGGTCAAGGTTTATTGGTGATACCAGCTTGGAGTTTGAGGTTTATTGGTAATACCAGGAAATCTAAAATTCTGACACCTTACCTAGAAGTAAGAAAACTTAATCAGGCTCATAAACTTATAATTAAGGCAGTTTAAAGTTCTGAATTTCATGAAGAAATTACTAAATTAAAAAGCCACAATTCCTTGAATGTCTCAAATAAATGACATCAGGTAAGCACTTTTTTGGATGAAGACGGACTTGTGGGAGTAGGGGGAAGATTTACCAGAAGACACTAAGCATCCAATTATTCTACCAAAAAGCAATCACGTAATGAACTTACTCATAAATCATTATCATTTGAAGTATCTACACTCAGGTTTCCAGTTAACGCAATTTGCCCTTTGGCAAAATTATTGGAGCTTGATCAATAATTTGTAGAATTATAAGAAACTGTATAATTTGCATTCGTCATCATGGGAACTGTCACTACAAATTATGAGTGACCTTCCTGCATTTACAGCAAATGTAGAGAAACCATTTTCACAGACTGGGACCGATTTTGACGGCCCATTTCAAGTTTGCCATAAATGTAGTAGAGGAATACAACCAACAAAGATGTGTGTGTTTGCATGCTTCAATATGTGTGTGTTTGCATGCTTCATCATGAAAGCTATTCATCTGGAAGCTGTCAGTGACTTGAGTTCCAATGGGCTCATTAGTGCTCTAAAACAGTTTGTTGCATGTACAGGAACACCAAAAAGAATTTATAGTGGACTGTGGATCAAATTATGTTAGTGCACAAAATGATTAAAAATGTGGATTTCTACATATCTTGCCGAAATAGAGGCAGTGATGAACTCACGACCACTCATTCCAGCATCTGATGATCTATCTGAACTCACCCCAGCACATTTCATCATTGGTTCTGAAACAAAGCGAATTCCTGAACCTAATGTTGTAGATGAAAAAATTACCATGCACGAGCGATGGAAGCTGGTGACACAACTTTCACATGCCTTTTGGAAAAAATGGTCTAAGGAATATCTAATGCAGTTACAATTGAGAATTAAATAGAGGAAACCCATGATTAACATGAAAATTGGAGATTTAGTGTTGATTAAGGAGGATAACCTACCTGCCTTAAAATGGAGAATGGCTCAAATTATACAAGTTTATCCCGGCAGTAATGAAAAGATTCGAGTTTTCAAATTTAAAACTGTCAGTGGGACCAATACACAAACAGGTACTGGTACTGGTAATGACTGAGAATTGAACTATATATTACTTCATATTTCTATTACGATTTGAATTAAGTTTTAATATTTTATGCCCTAAAAGGTCACCGGGCTCCAGTATGCTAACAATGTTTATTTTAACCTCATGCCAAATCAGCCGCTATTTGGTGTGAGCTTAAAATAAACATCGTTAGCATACTGGATAATAAGAATGCTCAGTTAGATAAGGCTTGCAGTTGTACTTAATAAAATAATTAAATTAAAAAAAGGAGAACAAACTAAAAAGATAATAAGCTGCTACCACAAATAAAATAAGTAAAGATGGACATCTTCGACAGATAAAAAAATAAGCATAGGTCAGTTAGAACTGTTACTACAAAATTGTTAAACAGGATAGAAGAAATGTTTACAGAACTAAGCAGTGTTGATTTATATGCACTGAAAGAAAAAAATGTAGTTAATTATTGAAAACAAAAGCACGCTAAATGATTAAAACTTAGCTATTAAGGCTTTGTTGCCTGTTGCTGAAATTGAGAATGATGTAGCTACTTCCATAGATTATTCAGAAAAGCTTTCAATTTGAAAGCATAGAGTCAGATGTCAAATCGCGAGTTTGAAGGGTTCTGAAATGTCTGACACTCCATTTACTCCACTTATGGTAAATGGAAGAACAGTAAAACTTCCTAAACTACATATTAAGCAATTTTACGGGGATCCATCATCGTGGTTAGAACTTTTTGGTCAGTTTGAGACGGCTATCGATATAAAATTCGGTTTTTTTTTCTGAAATAGATTAATTTAATTATTTCAAATCATGTCTAAGTGGTCAAGCTGCAAGTTTGATTGCCGGGTTAGCAATTATGAAAAGAAATTATGAGGTAGTGCTTAATATATGTACTAATAGGTTTGGAAATACTAATACCTTAATCTAAACTCATATGAATAATTTATTGAAAATTCCTGCTGTTCATAATTTGCAAGACATAGTTTGAGAAAACTCTTTGATAAAATTGAAGGACAAATTAGAAATCTTGAAGGAAAAATAAACTGAAAGTGGAAAATAGGTGCTTTAAATGTTTTTCTAAACACCATTTAAGTTTTATGCGTAGATTAAAATTTGAATGTAGTTAATTCCATAATTATCTATTGTTAATGAAAATGACCAAAACAAAGCTGAAAAACAAAGCCCAGTTGATGCAATTGTAAGGGAGTCAGAAAACAATGCGGTCATTATGCAATGTAATTCAATGGTATCAAAAACCAGCATATTGTTGTTGACATGCTCAGTTATTGTCAGTTCAGTATATCAGTCAAACATTTCAAAAACTGTGCACATTTTGTTAGATGATGGATTTGAATGTTCTTGGTGCACCAAACTTTTAGCTAGTTCCCTAAAATTAAAGCCTATAAGAAAGGAAAGGGGGGGAATATTTTACACTATAGAAATGTATGAGTGTGATTTTTTGAAGATAGTATTCCACAAAGAATTAACTATGCTGATACACCTTGAAAAGGAAATATTACAAAGGAACGTTTAAAAAAAGTATGTGTATGTTGCCAAAATTTTAAAGCGAACAACCAGAAAACTATAGAATATAAGCTTTCATATATATTTTAACACTTTTTTTTATAATTAAAAAATTCTCACATCTGAACAAAAAAACGGTTCAAAGGCAATCTAAAAATAAAACTAACAAATACAACAATATTTTTATTCATTATAGAAAGTGTATTGTTGATTTCACAATAAAACTAAAAAGCAGATATGAGAGAGACTGAAATTTTACAGTATCAAAACAGTGAAATGCCAAATTTACCTTTATAATGGAATGCAAAACCTGTGACTTTATAACATTTGTTTGTTGTGCAGTTTGCTGGTAAGCACTAACTACCATTTCCAGAGCTTTCTCACCGAATGGAACAAAATTCATTGTAACCCAGTCTGTCTGCAAAGATTAAAAAATATGGTTCATATAAAAAAAATTTATGCATTATAATTAATCATACAACAAAAGTTCAGCATCCATATTAAAAATTAATTTACGGCATAAATTCCATCATTAAAAATTTTGCACAGTGAAATAAAAATCAGGGAATAAATTATTATTATTTTAATATCCCAAAGCAAATTATAGCTATCTGCTTAAGGATAGGGGGAGAGAGAACATTTTGTGGGAAATTGGACCATAGTCAAGTTACACATGAGAAAATCCATGAAAACCTCATGTACACTGCCCACTCAGCCAACATAAATACACTCTTAGGCAAACTACCAGTATTTCTTGACTCTGAACACTCAACCATCAACTCAGTCTATAAAAATTCAAGAGCATGTTAAGAGTTTTAAAAAATAATATGTCAAATGACCCATGTACATTCAATATGTATGTGCATTTATAAACAATTCTACACAAATCAACATATATGTAGAGAGAAAGATGCATACACCCATATATGCACCCAAGACGGTCTGAAAATGCTATAATAGGGCTTAACACTAGAATTACGATAGGGGTCATTTTGACACCTAGCAGACTTTTATCTCTGACAGCTCTTCTTTTTTTCGCAAATATCTTAATCATTTTTCAACTTTTCCTAAATCATTGTGATTTACGAAATAGTAAATATTTCAAGAAAATCGTATTTTTATTTTAGCCCTAACAAATGATTATACCTAGAAATACGGTAGGTGTCATTTTGACCCCTTTGAGGGAAAAGAAATGTGAATACATTCCATTGTATTATCTGAAGACTGTTACTTCTGTAAACTATTTTTATTTGCACCTGCTAAACAAAACACAAACAAAGGAAAAGAATATGGTGGGTCTGCATAGTTTCATATCTGCCAGTCACATGATTTGAAACATGTGCAATACTTTTCTTTGTGGAAAGAAAACAGAGAAGAGAGATTATTACGAGCTGAACGTTTGTAGATTTTTCGTAGATATTTTGTTTATTATTCATAACAAGTTTTAGTGGAAAATTTTATTCTATTTACATGAATTTATTATGGTGACGTACTAATGGCGCGTAGAAAAGGACTAACGCATGAAGAAATCGTGAACTGATGCAAGAACTATCTAATGCCTATTCCGGTTCTGAAATCAAAAATAATTTTACAGATAAAAATGGAGATGAAACATCTTGTGATTCTGAATTTATTATATAGAGTAATCAGGCAATGTTATCTTCTAGCTCAAGTGAAAGTACAAATGGATTTGTTTCTACGAGTTCAAATTCTGCCGTACCTAAGAATGCCAAAGCGGGAAATAGTAGATGCTCAAAAGGGAATATGAAATTCAACGTAATTCAGACTAAAACTTGCAAAGGAATTGCTAGTGATGGAACTATACGGAAAGTAGAAATATTTCAAATACTTCTGGTTGACCCTTGCAAAATATCTGGCAAGAAAAAGGAAGGACCGACATCCTATGCTAAACGTCACATTTGTTCTGCTAAAGCTCTTAGTGCATGGAAGTTAATAATAAATGAAAAAAATTTTACGCATCATAAAGGAGCATACTCATGCTGAAGCCAAGCGTAAACTTCATAATGACTCACTATTTAATTAGCAGAACTTGAAGCATTCATAGCGTTGTTGTATGTAAGGGGGTATTAGCAGCCAAAGGCTTATCAATTCTTAGTTTGCGGTCCAAAACTTGGGGACCAAAGTTTTTTCATGAAACTAGTAGAGATAGGTTTCTGGAAATTATGAAATGTCTTCGTTTTGATAATAAACTAACAAGGTCTTCACGTTTGCAGTGTGATAAATTTGCACTAATATAAGAAGTATGGAATACTTTTATAGAAAACTGTAAGCTTTGCTACAAACCAAATGAAAACATTATGATTGATGAACAGTTATTCTCTACAAAAACAATATGCCGTTTTTTGCAGTATATGCCTAACGAGCCCGATAAATTCGGAATAAAATTTCGGCCAGCAGTAGACGTTAGGACAAAATACTTATTAATCGGATTTCCATATTTAGGAAAAGATAAAATGAGACCAAGTGATCAAAGTTTAGGAGAGAACATAGTAAATTGTTTAGTTGATCCTTACAAAACTACTGGCCGAAATATAACTACAGACAGTTTCTTTACATCAGTAAAACTTGCAAAATCCCTAAAATCAAAAGGATTGAGTCATGTTGGAACAGTAAATCGCGCAAAAAGAGAAATTAGCTCTAGTTTAAAAAATGTAAGAAACGAACTTTTTTCTTCAGTTGTGATGAAACATGACTATATAACACTTACATCATATCAAAGTAAAAGGAACAAAAACGTAATTTCGTTAAGTACACTCCATTCATCTGTTGAATCTAATGAAAAGATGATGTAATACAATTTTACAATTCTACAAAATTCGGAGTAGACATTTTGGATCAAATGGCAAGGACTTAGCAGGCATAAATGCGTGGATTCTATATAAGGAAGTTACAAAAGAAAATATCAGCAAAAGGGACTTTCTATTGCGTTTGGCAGAAGAACTAAGAGAAGAATATATATCTAGTAAAAACAAATTTGTTCTCTCTTCAAGTGGCTTTGTGGATGGACAAGATTCAATAGAATAAAAAAAAAAAGGAGAAATGTCAAGTAAGGAAGTGCAAAGGTAACAAAACTTCTAATATTTGAGACAACTGTAATAAATATGTATGCGGATATTGTACACAAAAATCAGAAAGATAAGCGTGTTTGCTAATTGCTGCGCTGACTAATATGTTATCTGTAAATAAAATATTTCTATATATTATTATTTCTATATACCCATTATAGCAAAAAGTTTGTTTTAAAATACTTTAATATTTGGACTAAAAACCACTTTTTTTGGAAAAATTTGCGTAAATATTTATACATTTTATTTTCTGTGTTTCTGAAATGTACGCTATAAAAAATGAAAAAAAAATTTACATTTTCCGAAGTAAATATTTAAATGCTTGTTCATTATTTGACTACATACCTTCACAGTCTCTATATTCTTTTAAATAAAGTGTAGTTGTCATAATTTGCATTATTTTTATTTCTTTTTCACAAATATATTATATCGTATAGAGAAATATGCAGATATCTTATCAAGGGGTCAAAATGACACCTGCCGTAATTCTAAGTATACGAAGACCACCGTAATTCTAGTGTTAAGGAATAATACATGACAGCTGATTACACAAAAACAATCACAATTTTTCAATATATACTTTTATTATACTTATATTAAAGATAAAAGCTTTATGACATCATTTCCACATAGCAAAATATTTATTCCAATTTACAGACACACAGATTAATGCACAAATTTAAAGATTCCACACATACACACAATATGCCTTTTTGATAAAAAGCACTTGAAAAATATATCACCAAAAAGAAAAAAAAGTGTTTTTCAGAGACAGACAGCATACTATTGCAAAATGGCTTACTCCAAGAATACATGTATATTAAAATTATTCCCTATATCCTCTATGTCCCTTTCTTTTTCAACATACTTTTAAATTACATGTATATAGATTAAATAACATTCAACAACTAATCTGTACAGCTGATGTGCACTAACTAAATTGTGCAATTCATGCTTTTGATTTCAAAGTTGTAGAAAAGCTAGAAGTGAAATTACAAAATTTTCAGCTTTCAATATCTTCATCGAGAGGTTTCAACATATAAATTTGTATTTACAGAATTTTTTAGGTAATGCCACATCTTACATTTTCACAAGATGAGAAAAATATTTTGTTAAGTGGATATGACATACGATAATTTCAAATTTAACATCTCAGCAATGAAACCATGTGCCCAACTATACATGAAACAATGTGCCCTAATGCCATTTATTACACCACAAATACTGTAAACCACTAGTAACCTGATATCCCATAGTATTCCCTGCTGTTTGCAAAAAGCAAATTAATAAAATGTTCACTATGCTTTATTGAGTGAAATACAGAAGTTCCATATCCTTAAGGACAAAATTTGTGAAGATATTTATAATTAATAGTTTCATAGGACCAGCAAAAGTTTCTAGCTAATGGTCTAAAAAGTATACAGAAGCATGTATCTTCACTGATTAAGGGCTCACATTAATTAAACTTATGTTCTGTGAAGAACATAAAGTATAAATAAAGTTTTAATATAAGTGAAGAATATTGAAGAAATATTTTAATAGTGAATTATATTATTAGAAAAGTTTATATATATATATATATATATATAGCTTTGTACTTGTCCATGTGTGTGTAAAAAATCTGACATGTACTGTGAAAGAAGAAATATGATGAGGAGGGGGGTATGGAGATGACAATATGCAGAGAAAAGAAGTTGTATGGAATGAAGCTGATGAAAAATTGCAGACTTTCGTAATATTTCCTAAATGATGTTCATCTATGTCCTTGCATTCCATATAGGGCCTAATGGTGGAGCATTTAATACAATTTTTAAAAAGTAGTATTTTAATAATTCTGAAGTCGCATTTTTGCGTTCTTTGACGTACTTTGCTGTTAGGCACTACATGGAAAGGGAGGGATGTCCCATGGAAGTCATTTTAAGGAAAACTGGCTTGTATCCAAGTTACACATGGAAAAAAACCATGAAAATGCCCATGCAGCCAACTTGTTCACTGGGATTCGAACCCCGGGCTGAACTACCAGTGTTTAGCAACTTTTACTGCTTGGTCACTGGTGGGCCTTGACACTTTGCATTTCACCATTTGTTTTGTGATGATAAAATGTATGTAAATTAAGGGTTTCTGATACAGTCTTTATAATTACTGATACAGTCTTATGCACTGGAGATAAAAATGCTTTTCCCATGCAGTGTTGCCTTTGCTCACTTTGAAATCATTGAGTTTCTTAATCAAAAGATCGTTAAAGTGTAACAAAATACTACTTAAGACACAATAACACGCCAAACAAATAATAATTCAGAAGTCAAGCAACAAAAATCAGCGTTATACTTTC